TAGTTTCGTTGATCATAGTTCATGCCATTTCTTGTAGTGTCTTATTCTTTCTTTCTACAACTCCATTACGACTAGCACCATAGATCATGGAAACCATTCTGCTTCTGTCAATGTTATCATTTAGTAAATTCTAAAAGGAGTTATCATGTTGGTACATGACAGTTTCAAAAGATATGGAAGCTTTAGAAAGAACTTTTTCAAGTTTTGAACTTTTTTTACTTAGAAACACTTTTTCATTTTTTAAATTAAAATGATCATCTTTATGTTCAAGACCTTCTTTCTCTATCTTATCGTATTCTTCAATTTCATATTCATGAACCTTCAGAAGATTCTTGAATTTTTGTTGAAGCTTCTGATGCTTGTTCATAGTTTCCGATAAACATAATTCTAATTTAGCTCGAGAGAATTCAGAAAATACCTCTTTAGAGTCAGACTCTGTTTCTGATGTGTCTTCTTCTGAACTGATACCCATGAGTGCTACGTTTGCATCTTCTTCTTCTTCTTCTGATTATGATCCTTCAAAATCATAATCATCCCATGTTGCCTTGAGACCTTTCTTCTTTCCTTTTAAAGTGATTTTCTTGAAGCTTTCTTTTCTGGTGCTCTCCTTCATGAGATTTGGATATTAATTTCTGTAGTGTCCAGGCTCATTGCACTCAAAACATGTTACTTCATTACTATCTCATCCTTTATTAGATGCTTTTGGACGATCTCCTCTATTTTTGAATCTTCGACCATTGTTTTTTCTTTTCTTCCAAAGTTACTTAATTCTTCTAGATAAAAGCGACAATTCGTCTTCATCATCAGAATATTCATCATCAGATTCTTCGATTTCTTCAGCTTGGAAAGCCTTGCTCTTTTCTGATCTAGTTATTTATGTTCTAGATTTTAGAGCAATATATTTGTTTCTTTTCTAAGGCTCGTCTTCTTCTAGCTCTATCTCATGACTTCTAAGCGGGCTAACTAACTCTTCAAGAGTCATACTGTTCAAATCCTTAGAACAATCCACTTCAACAAATCAAAACCTTTTTGCCTTAGGGATTTTTCACTTTAAAAAATCTTTTCAGAAAGAGCGTGTTATTTTTGTTCTACTGTGAACAGGAAACACATGAGTCTCCACACAACGCACAATAACACCTAATTGCTGTAATACATATGTGACATCGTCCATTAAAAACAACCAACAAATAACCTTTTTCTAGACTAACTACGAAGCTCTGATTTCCCTATTGCACTATGAGAACGCAGGCACGAGGTCTGAAGGGTCAAAGTTCTTAAGTTATTGGCGTCTTGGTTGATAATCTATAATATTATTTTTTGGATGTACATAGCCCCCCATACGCGAGCCCTGAAGGGTTGAAGCGCTTAAGACATTGACGTTTTAATTGATAATCTAGAATATTATTTTCCAAATGTACAATGTGATGTTGATAAATTAAAATGTGGTTGCTTGATCAATAAAATATATAGTTTGCAATATGCATGCACAAATTTTAATATAAAGACGATGCACTAAATATATATTCCTTTAGATAACATTCACATTCATAGGAAAATGTTACATTTTTAATATGATAATATGTATATGAAAGGCCGTACAATCTCCATAGTGGAAAGTAATTCAAGTTCATTTTCTGTTATACTATTTAACCATAATTTTGATTTATCTTATTTATTATATTTGAGGGATTTTTCTGCTTGTGACGATAACATCTAAATGTGTTATCGTTGTCACATTAGCGTCACATGATTTTGGTGGATCTGAATAATTATTTTGCACACTTCATTCACCATTGTAACTTTTTTTCTTTTCTTGTTCTATTTTTAAAAACAAATTATTATTTTAATACAACTAATAACACATTATAATTAATAAAATATATTATACCTTCTATAAAAAAGCATTTAATAGCTTCTCAATTTGGCTTAAAGCATCCGTTAATGACACTGACTTCAACTCAACATTTTGTTCAGATGACTCATTTTCTGCACCTTGCAAATTATACCATAGAAATTATTATGTTTAATATAAAAACAAGAAATTAACTCTAATAATCAGATTATAAGTTATTGAAATTACCAAACATTTCCTCACATTATGAGTTGTATTGTTGCATTTTGAAAAGCGATTGACAACTTTTATGTTATTTTTTTTCTTTGGAGCACCTTTACTCTTCACCATTGTTGAATCACCTATGTCTGACTTTGTTGTCCCAATGAGATTGTCAATATTGCAATACTTTTTTGTAAATTCAGAATGACATTAATTATTTCCCCATAAACCCCACTCTTTTTTGAAGTTTTTTTTGCAAAAAGTAGTAAAAGCATAACAATATGCACTAAACCGAACTTGCTCAATCAAATTTGAATCAACTGTACCATTACAATTCATGTTCAAATATTCAATTTTTACATCCTTAGTCCATCGTAACAAAACCAAACTGGTAGGAATGTGATCAACATGTTCTTCCTTCATGACATAAAACATATGAGAACATGGAAGCCCACAAGAATCAAATAACCTACATGAATATTGAAGTGTTGTACCATCATAAACAACTTCTCTTTCATATTTGTCCCGATAATATTTTATCAATGTATAAATCTTCAAATCTATGCGAGCAAATATGTTCTTAACAATCAATGCATCAGTCTTCATAATTTCATCTTTAACTTATTTGAAAATCTCTGCCGTATAAATTTTAGCGACATTGTTCTCAATCAAACGCAAATGAGTTGTCAACACAGGTTCTGAAAACTTTGATTTAAAATCAGCAACCAATTCATTGTTTTTGTACTCTCTCAAAGTCTGCTCAAGATTATGCATAAATTAAAAAATGCAATCTTTCTTCTAGACATAACTCTTGATTATTTCATTAACTACTTCACACTGAGACATAGTTCTTATACGTCTAAAAAACTTATCACGTAGATATGCAGTTGCCCATAGTGACTTGTTCTCATACTTTTTTGCAACCCAAGGATTTTCTTCAAGTTTGTTTCCTTTAATTAGATTTGCCCAAAACTCTTCAAATTGATACTTTGTAACATTTGAGTACATGACTTTTTTAAAACCTTTCAAAAATTCTGACTTCTTTACATTTTCACAAGCATTCTTATTCAAATGCCAAGCACATAACTGATGGGTCGCATCCAAAAACATCTGTTTTGTAGCCTCCCCCATAGCCTCATCTTCGTTTGTTACATCTGCTTTTGGGTATTTATCTTCCATGCACTCTAAAAAACACCTCAACAATCACTTATACGTCTCTTTCATTTCATCTAATACCAATGCAACACCAAAAATAATTGTCCGAGAATGGTAGTTACACCCTAAAAATATAACCAATGGATAGTTGTATTTGTTCTTCTTGTAAGTTGTGTTGAATGCAACCACATCGCCAAAACAAAAATAGTCTGATCTACTTCTCCCATCAACCCAAATAAGAGACTTCATTCATCAATCATTATTGACAGCATATTCAACATATAGTATGGGATAAGTATATGACTTTATATTTCAATAATTTAATGAAGTAGAAACATCACTATCTTTAATAGTAGTACTCATTTTTATCAAAATAATAGTACAAATCCATCTTTGTAAATCCAACACCAGCATATCCATCCTTCTGAGTGATCATGTCACTACTACAAAAAGTGATTTTAACCTCGGAGGCGAAATGTGTTTTACCTCGGCTATAAAAGTGACGTAACAGAGGACGTCATAAAAAATAGCGACTTTACACCTTTTTTTTAAAACACCGAGGGGTAAATTAATTTTTTAAAAAAAATTAAAACTCGTTACATTGTTTACACAGAAAACTGATAAAATAATTTATTCACAAACAACATTGTTTACCTAGAATATTATATTGTTTACACAGAAAAACTAATTTCTCCAAGATATAGATTTTAGATCTTCAAATCAAATAATTTTGGGGGAAGATCAAATAATGGGTGCATAATATTCATTATGACTTTTGCTTGCATTTGTTTCTGATATGAACAAAAAATGGGTTAGACAAAAAATGATTAGATATATAAATGATTTTCTGCTCAAATAAATATTTAAAAACACAAACTTTAAATCCAAATAATTATCTGTTCTTGCAATCGATCATAGAGAACTTTTCATGTCAAACACTCTTACAAACCTTAAAGTTAAGGAAGTTTCAAGCGCTTCATGATGTTTCATTATCAATTTTTTATATTCAAACTGCTTTTATAATAGAAGTTATTTATATTTCACGCGAATCACTAATGGTAGTGTCTTGAGTGTTGATAGTCATGAAATGAACGACGGAGATTTGATTAAGGAAGGTGATATATATCCTCAATTTTAACGATAAATTATCCCTTCGATTTTTAAGAAAACTGAGGTGCAAAATAAAAATAAAGTTATATTATTTACACAGAATATTAAAACATAATATTGCAACAAATCCAACTTCTTAGCTATGAGAAGTTATCTATTCCAAACATTGAAAAATATTATATGGATTGAATATGTCATACTCCAATTTTATTCGGATTTTTTACCATTATGCCACAATTAACAAGAAAACATGTTTAAAGAGTTACAAGTGTTAGAGATCTTGAGTTCAAATTTCATCTTTCTAACTTTTTACATTTTTTCCTTTTATTTGTCTTTAACTTTATTTTTGTTTTTTATTTACAAATCATAAAAATCACAAAAAAAAGTATTTTTTATATTTTTATTTTTAATTTTCGTATTTATTAATTTTCATATTTTTTAAAAAATAATTATTTTCACTTTTTTCACTATTTATGCATAAAATAACTCAAAAACTATTAAAAAATATTAATGGTAGTTTTTTATCTTTATTTTTTTGTCTAAGACACTCTTTTCAACTATTTGATTTGATTTCTTCTATTTATAGAAAGAATCCAAACAAATTTCAATTTTAACATTAAGTTTTGATTTCAAATTATTTTTTTGTATTTTAGTTATCCTAAATTTCTTAGTATAAACAAGTAACTTTTTCATTCCACAAAGGAGGGCCAATCCACACACCGTACCAATTACACTAACATATTTTCCTCATGCACTTACAAACCCTTTTTTCTATTCACAAATCACCCAAAGTCTCTCACGTAACTACACTTTTTTTTTGTCTCATACAAGATTCTTTCTAACATACCCACGTTTGCTACAAGATCATGTACAGGGGAGAAGATTCAGTGACATTACACAGCGCATTCTGACCACACACTACACAGTTCATGTTCCAACTCCATTATTCTCCTCCTCACGAATCTTCTATTTTTCTCAAACCACTTCTGTCACTGTTGTTATCACCATTATCTAAGCCTTGACATCCAAAGTCACCATCAAAGCCTTGAACTTTTTTTCCATGTATCAATCCAAACCAACACTTTTCATCCATAAAACAATCTTTAAGCTTAAACCACAAGCCATAAACTCACAAAATTAAAAACAAATAAACCTGCATCACTTTTGTTTTTCTATCTAAACCATAACCAATTCAACAAACTTTCATTACATTTTCAATACCAAGTCACCATAATGATGTAAAAATAACACACGTAGAATCAAAAGTGGAGGACTGAAAGAAGAGAAAGAAGTGGGTCCGGAAAAGCTTCCGACGTCCCCAACGCTCCCCCACAACTTCCGCTGGACCCGGTTCGCACTTTCCTTCCATTCTTCCACTTTTTTTATCTTATCCATTGTTGCCATGCCTTGTTGTTTTTGAATAATATGTGTTAATTTAGAAAAAACATTTGATTTAGATAGAGAGTAGAAAAGTGGATCTTTTCTGTTTGTGCATCGTGAGAAAAGAGAGATTATTGGTTCCTACTTTTTTTAATCTATTTTTTTAATTAACCAATAAAATGTGTCAAAATTTGATTGGGCGATAGAAAAGAGAAAGAAGTTAGGTGGTGTTGTTGGTAAAAAAGAGAGATATTTGTTTTTGGAAAAAAAGAGTGGAAAACGCGTTGCTGTTGAGATGTAGTCGGTACATCTATTCTTTTTCTTTTCTTTTAATTTCTAGAGTGCATGTTATTACTTCTATCCATCTTCATTACATATGTATTTTTCTTTTTTACCATCGATAATCTGATTCGAGAATCAATTTTATATTCTAATCTCCTTTCAATCTAAAACAATTTATTCATTAGTAACTAAAACAATTTATTCATTAGTAAAAAATCATTAAAAAATGTATGTTATATTTAATTTGTTATGATTTATATTTTTTTTAGTAAATGACTTACTCCTTATAAAATAACATTTTGTAAATAATTATAGGTTTTTCTATTGACTTTTTTTTTTCTTTCCATTTTATCCTTTTGTAAATATTATTTATAGATAAATAAAAGTAGGTAGGAAATAATTAGGTAAGCTTTCTCTTATTAAATACACCTTAACCTTAAATTTATAGAAAGACTTTATTGAGTATAATGAAAGTGAAAGATTTCTAACACTCTCTCTTCACTTAATGACTTCTGAATTCATATTCAGTTGTGATGAGCGTCTTATCTTTACTTCTAGAGTTTTTTCATTATTTCTCATGTTCATTAGGAATGAATAAAAGACGACGACTCTGATTTTTCCAGCCGCGACAAAATGTATTTAACTTCTAAAAGAGATATATGTTTCAACCATTGGAAAATGTTATTCTACACTTATAGTCCATCATCGACTTCTTTTTCAAGCTCCTTAAAGAAAATGATAAGCATATATACCAAAGAATGACGCATACGAGTTAAGATTAGGGTAAAATCTATTTAAGGAGTACTTATATAGTAAAATATGATTATCTTATCCCTCGGTTGTTATGAATCGACGGATAAGATCATTTAATTTACAAATAAAATATATAATAAAAAGAGAGGTTCCAGTTTTGTTTTTCCCCTCGGTTATGAGAAAATCTGAGGTAATATTTTGTTTTAAAAACTAATTAAAATGTGGCGCGCGTGCATTGGAATCATATCACTAGAATAACAATGATCATCTATATCCAAGTTGTAACGTCTCTTTTGGATTTCAAGGAGGCCTTTGAGCTATTTAAACGCCTCATTTTCAACTCTTTGTGCCTTCAAACCTTGTTTCAAAGTCTTTTCTTATTTTTAATGTCTCATTTCAAACTTTCTATGTTTTGTTTCCATGTTTCAAAGTCTTTTTTATTCAAAAATGAATACAAAACTTTTGTTCGTTATCAATGAAAAGTTTGTTGATTTCAATGATTTCAATCGTTTTGAACTAAGGAAAGCTATTAAGAAACAAAGGTTGAATGATTACTTTCACATTCTACATGGCCCCATATACATTAATTTCGTTAAAGAGTTATTGATGAATTCCTCTGTTGTCCCAACTGGTCATGATGAAGTCATCCAGTCATATTTCAATGGCTCTCATTTCTTCATTACTCCATCACTGATTGCTATGACAATTAACTATCAAGATACAGGTAGTTGTGTTGAATATTTTCAATTCAACAATGTCTACTCAACCCGCCTTCATCGAATTTATGTCAACCAAGATAAGCCCACCAATCCTGCTTCTATACTCCCTATGCAAAATTTTGGTTTTAACTTCTAGTGAAAAATCTCTGTCCAAGAGAGAAACAACTGGAAACGCGTACTTGGTATGACAAGCATCTCTTGTACTTCCTCATCTACAACGTCAAAGTTAATCTTCCTCTTACCATTTTCAACTTCTTGAAAGAAATGACAAGCATTTCTCAGGAGGAAATTACTTTCCTCATATCATATGAAAGAGTTCTTTCTAAATTTTTCTCTAAGTTAGGAATAATGTTAAAGTATTGGACTGAGAAACTTGAATATGTGGAATACTTTTCTCTGTTGTCTTGTTTTTTATTATCAATAAAATATTTTCTTTTTCTATTATTGTCTATTCTTGTTTATTGATAACAAAGATTTTGATAATTACTAATTAACAAAGAAAAACATGGAATCTGGAAAAGACGTCAAGTAATAAATTGTTGAAAAAAAATTTAAATACGGTAACGGAGATTTGAAGCGAGATACCTTATAGCTATATTATCTCGGTTCTTCAAAAAACCCGAGAGAATAGGTTTATTTTTTTTTTATGTATAAAAAATGACGCTAACTTATAGTAATGTTACTTCGATTTTTTATAACATCGAGGTAAAATATTGTTCATTTTATTAAAAAATCAAACATGGCGCTCCTAGTACATATACTCTCGGTTTTTAGCATATTCGAGATGAAAGTTGTCACAAAAATATTATTCATTGTAGTGTGTACTCTATTATATGACAATTTCTAATTTCATGTGACTGAAGACCACCAATTTGAGCTCTATCTGCTTCATAAATTTCACGATAAATGGGATGTAAGTGCACAAATCTAGATGGGGTTAATTCATAGTTATGAGTCTCTTCAAAAACTAACACTACATATCTATCTTTTTTGGCTTTATAGTGCACATGATGCCTAGCCAGACATTTAGTACGGGTCAAACGTCTGTGATCTATTTCCCTATCAATCCTATATAAGTATTTATTCTCTCTTAAACCTTGTTTATTGCATAGAAACAGCCTCATTACTGTTATTTTACTACCTTCGGGCCTTATTGTCCTAACATCACTTTTTCTAATGGAAAAACCTTTACATTTATCATACCGATAATAAAATTCATAAGCTTCATCAACAATACCAAATTCCATAGCACGAATTTCATCAGCATTAATGGAGTTAATATTCACCAATCTATCACCTACAACTACATCTACTTTAACTAGATCATCATTGTAAGTATTATCAGCGCTATCACCATCATTTGAACTTTGATACCCACTAGATACTGAATAACTGTCATCCTTAACATCATTCAATTCAACATCAGATGTATCACTATCACAACAACGAACGTCGTTGGAATTAAAATTGTCGTAGTTTTTCATAGTAAACCTGAATTAACACAACAAAACTCAATATCAATCACAATATCTAATTTCTTATATATTTCCTAATTAAATCAAAGGTACCTAACAAAATTGAAATTTGAAATCATCAAATATGAAACCCTTGTACAGAAAACAAATTCAAGCATAAACCATCATTTTCAAGTTTAAATCAAATTTAACACCAAAGCTGAATTAACACAATTTTTAACACGACAAAACTCAACATCAATCACAATATCTAATTTTCTAAAATTTGAAAATTCGAAATCATTAAATATAAAACCCATGTATAAAAACTAAATTCAAGCATAAATCATAATTTTAAAATTGAAATCGAATTTAACACCCCAATTATACTTTATTCGTAATCAATAAATCTTAATAATTAATTTAAAATAAATATTACAAACATTTTCGCATTTACTTTCACAACAGTTAACCTCTGTATGATGGTGGATCTAACAGTATTGGTTTCTTGGCCCACCATGCAGTTAGATTGGGACCTAAGGAATTTAATAAGACTTTGCATTATCTACGTATAGGACGATTATAATCAATACCATGGTCGATTTTAAAGAAAAATATCTTATAATACAACAAGTTGCTACTATATTAAAGATTGAGATGTTTTTTTTTTTCTCCTTCCTGGACATTCAATAAAATTGGAACGATATAGAGAAGATTGAGATGTAGCGCCAATACCCATTGCTGAAATAACGTCATTTAATTCAAAGTTCCAATCACCCTAATAGTTGGTGTTGAGGTTTCCAATTGAAAGAGACATGATAATTAGACAAAAGTTCACAGCCACTAGAATATAAATCAGTGTTAGTTTTGTGGAAATTTGGGAAAATTTTTAGTATCACATCCATTGTTAAAGATATTCTTAGTCCTATAAAGTAGTCGAGACAAAATATTTATAGTTTTACATTGGTTGTTAAAGATATTTTTTGTCCTAAAAAGTTATTTTGAAGAAAAATTTGCAGTTCTTCTCCATTTCTCTTGGGTTCAAGCAGCGCCATCGAAAAGAGAAGAAGATGCCGCAGGTGACACCGGGAAGCTCCTGTTACTTTGAATTGTATCCGGAAAGGAAAATATCATATTTCAAGAATCCCTACATTCTCGGAGTAACTGCGGCTGCTGGCTTTGGTGGACTCCTCTTCGGCTACGATACTGGTATCATGCCTCTTCTTTCTTCTAATCATCAAATTTACTATGAAGCAATTGATGCAGAGACAAACATGAACTCTGAATATTGAACTGATTATTAGTTTATTACTGAATACTGATTGAGACAATTGATCTTTTTTATCATGGATGTTTTCCTCGAAATAATCCATTATATAGTCTGAGTCCTAAACTCGAGATCAAATTTAGCCAGAATGATAACAGAAGTTAGCCTCTAAGGTTTGACTGTGCATGGGACAATTGTTTGCTGCCTGCAGGTGTTATATCAGGGGCCCTTCTGTATATTAAAGATGATTTTGATGATGTCCGCAAAAGTAGCTTCCTTCAGGTATAAGCTATTACGCGTTATTGATTGTTGTTGACTTCGAATTTATAGGGAGATGCATCTATTGTGTATCACTTGCTGCTTGTAATTCTCATTTAGTGTTGGTGATTTTAGTATCACCAATGTATTTTAGTAGTAATGTGATTTACTAAAGGCCGATGCAATTATGCGTTAAGTTCGGAAACGAGTGAGGGAAGTGCGGAGTGCACGCTCGTCGAGCCAATGCATAATTGAATATGAATAATTGAAACGGGGTTGCAAGGGGCGAAGCCCCTGGCGGGGTACGGGGCAGCGTCCCGTTGGGGTTCCAAGGGGCGAAGCCCCTGGCAGGGTGCGGGGCAGCGCCCCGTTTTTCCGAACAGGTGTATCTTTTCGGTTTCAGTTATTGATCTCCTATATAAGGAGTCATTTGGCCTCGGTTTCAACAACGGAAAAACGTCACTTTCTCTCTATATTTGTAATCAGTTTCTTTTGCCAGAAACAGATTGTTCTTCGAGAATTATCCCCACAAAGATTTCGTGAACCCAAGCAAGAATAAGGTCGAAATGCTTTGTTCGGAAAGTGTACGAACACGATTCTTCGAAGTTATCCAGGATTATCATACCCAAATATCTTACATTTAGCATACATGTTTCTTTTTTTGGAATCAAGATTGATGTTTTACATGTTTATGTTTCCAGGAAACTATTGTAAGCATGGCATTGGTTGGTGCAATTATTGGAGCAGCAACAGGTGGCTGGATTAACGATATTTTTGGACGTAAGAAGGCCATACTTAGTGCTGATGTTGTCTTTGGTCTTGGATCAGTTGTGATGGCTGTCGCACCAGATGCATATGTTCTGATATTTGGCCGTCTTCTTGTTGGCGTTGGCGTGGGCATAACATCAGTGACTGCTCCTGTATATATTGCGGAATCGTCACCATCAGAAATAAGGGGTTCATTAGTAAGCACATATGTACTCATGATAACTGGCGGACAGTTTCTTTCTTACCTCATAAATCTTGCCTTTTCCCAGGTCAGGCCTTTCTTTCTTTGCTCTCTATATCTTCTCCTCATGCTTTACATTTGTTGCATAAATCATTTTTGTCAGTTAGTCAATCATATTATTTGAGATATCGCCTAATAAAATTTTAATAAAACAGGTTCCTGGAACATGGCGATGGATGCTGGGAATTGCTGGTTTGCCGGCTATTATTCAGTTTTCAGTCATGCTTTTCCTGCCTGAATCTCCAAGGTGGCTTTTCCTGAAGGTGAAAAGGTTCTATATATTTGTATGCATTATGTTTGGGATATTGACTTTTCATTCCTTGAAAGCTCTCCTCATGCTAAAAGCTATCTTTTATGTACAGAATAGGAAAGAAGAAGCTATTTCTGTGCTTTCCAATATCTATACTTATGAACGTCTAGAAGATGAAGTCAATTACCTCACGGATGTTTCAGAGCAAGAACTACATAAACGGAAGAACATTAGATACATGGATGTTTTCCGATCAAAGGAAATCAGAATTGCTTTTTTTGTCGGGGGCGGACTTCAGGTTATTGAGCCTAAGGATAAAATTTCTGTTTCTGTATTCCACTTTCAAATGATGTATCTCTAGATATTGAATGAGTGTGCTTGGATCTCATGCTATGCAACTTATCCCATATTTTCATTATTATGTAGGCTTTTCTGCAGTTCACCGGTATCGGCATAGTCATGAACTACACCGCCACAATCATTCAAATGGCGGGGTTTAATTCCAATCAGTTAGCTATTCTTTTATCTCTCATAGTTGCTGGTGTGAATGCTACTGGAACAGTTATTGGCATTTCTCTAATTGATCATGTCGGACGAAGGAAGTTGGCTCTCTCAAGCTTGTCAGGTGCAACTATAGCGCTGGCAATCCTTTCTACAGGATCTTACCTTCATTCATCTGACTCCTCAAATACGATCTATGGGTGGATAGCAATTATCGGGTTAGCACTGTATATTATTTTTTTCACTCCAGGAATGGGATTGGTGCCATGGACTGTGAACTCAGAAATCTACCCTGAAGAGTTCCGAGGTGTATGCGGGGGAATGTCAGCTACTGTTAACTGGATTTGCAGTGTGATAATGTCTGAAAGTTTTCTTTCAGTTTCTGATTCCGTTGGCCTTGGTGGCAGCTTCATGATTCTTGGCGTTATATGCGTGGTTGCTTTTTTCTTTGTGCTCTTCTTTGTACCAGAGACAAAAGGATTGACTTTTGAAGAAGTGTCTCTCATATGGAAGAAGAGAGCCCGGGGTAAGGATTATAACAGGCAAACCCTTCTTGATAAAGGAAGCCAATTCTTAGTGTGAGCTGCAATATTATTGAACGCAAGTGAGGAAACCAATCATAGTCATTTCATTTGTTACTAGCGGCCACATTACAGGATGGTGGTGGTAGTGTTTTGTGTGATCCTATGTTGTAGATTTGTATCGTTACAAATACATTATTGGTTTGTTTATCATGAATACTGAAGGCCTCCTAAATCTTTGTTATGTTATTGTTAAATTTGTTAAATAAACTTTAATGTTATAAATAGTGGGCTTCTATTAATAAGTTAGTGGGAAGGTTAAAAGTCTATTGTAATTGGAAGACTAAGAGATAGTGGTTTATAATAGTATTTACTAATATCATTTACTTTCTTAGAATAGTAGAAGTCCTTGAGTCTATATAAAGACCAAAATTGTATTTTATTTGATAATAAGTTATAAAAGTATTTGTTTCCTTTCTAACAAATTGGTATCAAAACTAATGGCAAACATGATGAATCAAATGCCGTTGCCACGCCTAACGAAGTCAAATTACGAAAATTGGAGTATCCAAATGAAAGCTCTTCTTGGATCTCTAGACGCGTGGGAGGTGACCAACGATGGGTTTGAAGAATCAACAGAGATTGCAGGACATACAACAACTCAAGCTAAGGCGTTGAAAGAGACGCGATCGAAGGATAAAACGACACTATACATGTTGTTCAGGGTTGTTGACGAATCAGACTTCGAAAAGATTGTCGGTTCGACTACGTCGAAAGAAGCATGAGACACGTTAGAGAAAGTGTTCAAAGGAGGAGATCGAGTGAAGCAAGTTCGACTCCAAACTCTTTGTAGCGAATTGGAGAGGATACATATGAAGGAGACAAAAACTGTATCTGACTACATCACGCGTGTACAAAATATAGTGAACCAACTCACCACAAATGGTGAAACAGTAACTGATGCACGAGTTGTTGAAAAGATTTTGAGATCTTTAACAGATAAATTTGAGAATATTGTGTGTACAATAGAAGAGTCGAAGGACCTTTCGACGCTCTCAGTCGAAGAGCTCGCTGGTTCTCTCGAAGCACATGAACAACGAAAGATGAAAAATAAGGAAGAAGCAGTCGAGGAAGCAAATCAAACCAAAGAGTCGATCAAAGACGAAAAAGTATTCTTCTCTCAAAACTTTCGAGGAAGAGGAAGTGGCCGTGGAGGTTGTGATA